GGAATTTGTCTCTACAATACAATTTTCATATCAAGTCCAAGTGAGGCTGTTTGAAAAGCGAAGTAAAATCATTTTAATTCAGCACAGTCATAAAAAAGTTGTTTCAATGAGGATTTCTTTTTTTTTTTTGTGTAGAGATTGAACAAGAAGCTAGCATTTGAGGGAAGAGATAGCAGTGATAAAAACATCACCTAATTTTCAGCAGTTTTTCCTTCTCTCACTGAGTTTTATATCATCGGCATTGGATTTATAATTCACGCTTTTTTGTGGCTTCGTCCTTGAACAAAAGTTTTAATTTTATTAACACCGATTAAAGAAATTTCTGGAAATTGAATGGATGGTTTTTTGAAGGATAAAGCTTGTTGGTTTGTATTGCTAAGTTTTCATTGTAAAATAGCTGAGGCAGTGGAGGATTTTGAGGCAAATTGGTAAATTCTATCATTTAACTAGAGTGGTTTAAAAAGGTTAAAGATTACTACTCCCCCCCACCTTAACCCCCCTACATTTAAAAAATTTCTGGCTAATGTTGATAAAGTTCTGTTTACAAGTGAAATATCTTGGAAATATCTCTCACAACTCCTACAAAACCTTGATAACCCATTCAGAGGGGGGGGGGGGGCTTCGTCAACAGAAATCTCCTCCTTTCGCTAGGGTTTTTATGAAAAAAAATTTTTAAAATCCACTTCATAAGTTTCTTCATCCAAAAAATTGTTCTGTCGCCGCTCTTGCCATTCTTGGCTACGCCCCTATAACCTACTATCAAACCTATTCGCTCAACTTTATAAAAACTTTTATTAAACAATTTTTTAAAAAATAATCGCATAATCGCAAATTAAACACACCCATGAGATTACATTGACCTTCATATTCTAAATTATTACTTCCATTAACACCAAGGGAGAGATAAGATGTCTGACTAATAAAAAATGACAACTTACTCACTCCATATTGAGTCATATTTTAAATTTGTTGTTTACGACAAAAATACTCAGCATGAATGAAAATTGATACATGTCAACATACTCATTCTTTTTTATACAACACTCTCACGCACTCCATGTTGTGACAAAGTGAGGTTTTATCAAATAATTTGATTAAAGCTATAGAGCTTGTTACTCTTTTTCATGTAGGTGGGAGAATACAAATTTTTCTTATTAAGTTGATTATGGAATTTGTGTTGTTTGTTTGGATGTTTTTATGGCTTCTTTTTTAAGGGTGGAGGTAGAATCGAAAGTTTGTGTTTTGAGAAGCTTCTTGGTTTGATATTTCAATATTTTTTTAAAATAAATTTGGTTTGTTCTCTTAAAAGTGATTTCAAAGACACTGGTGCAGTGTTTCTCAAACTTTTAAGGAATTTGGCGGCACATTTCAATTTCGAAAAGAGTAGCTTAAGTTCAATTGTGTCAAACTATCCTATGGTACGCCAACGAGTCCTTATTTTCGATATTGATTTTTTTTTGGTACCTTATTTTCGAGCATGAGTTCAAATTTTTTTTTCACGTTAAATTATTAATGTCTAATCTCTTTAATTAATGGTTTACATATTTGTTTTTCATCATCAAAATGCTAAAAGAATCCACTCAACTGTAATGAATCATTACTGATTTGCTAAACAATTAATGCAAGTGAAATAATGACTTTTTAATTTTCAATGTAAACAACAACAAAATTTTTTGAATATTTTTGAAAAAAATCATATTAAACTAATGTTTCCTGCATTTATCATCGATTAAACGATTAAATGAGTGTTAAAAAACATAGTAGAAAGGTTCAATTCCTAAGTAATAAGTGAATTAAGTCAAAAATTGCGAAAAGTTAAAATTTTCATTAAAAATATGATTTTCGAAATTGCGAAATTTTGTTCGAAAAACATTCGAAACAAGTTTAAACTTATTTCGCATCAACGTTGACATCGTCTCTTGGCATATCATAGAAACTATCGAGAACCTAAAAAAAATAGCGAACTTAGAAGAATTTAAAAGGGATGAATTTTAGCATAATCTCCACTCCCAAACCCCCCCCCCCCCCCCCTCCTATGTCGAAATTAAACTTTGTCATTGAACTAGTAAAATCTAGTTCTTGAAAAGATTTCTGTTAACTCAAGAATCTAAATTTGGCGTAAGCAGGGTCATATTTTCAGCTCTCCTCTCCCTTACTTCCATTTTTATAAGAAAGTAAGTCATCACTATTCTTAAAGCTCCTAGCAATTTGGACGTAGTTTTTCAGACTTCAATTGCAAATCATTCTCTAGCTTATTGGACAAAGAGGTGTGCCACACTACTTACAAAAAAAAAAATATCAAATACAAAACCATTCACAAATAACGTTGGTATTAAACAGCATCATTGAAAGCTCTTCATCTAAAAAGAATGAAAATATGAGAAAAAAAATAAAAAATGTTCATGCTTTTAAAAAATGTAAAACGAAAATAACCATAAAATGTAGAAAAGAGCATTCCAGGTGAGTTATTCAAAGGACGTGAGGTCAACATAACAATTTCTTTATCAATAGCAATCTCATCGTTTTCATTTGCTTTGTACCGCCATAAAAAATAAAGTCATAGGAAAAGACAAATTCCCGTAGAAAAATTTTTCATGAGAATTTATGCTTTTTATGTTGCAAAATTTACGAGTATGAGGACATAAAAAAATACCAAAAATGAAGAAAAATACTTATAAAGTCGTAAATGATATACATGTGGATACATCAAGTGGTGATTCTTGTTAAAGTCACTCCTCGGTATTCTTTAAAATTCTGGAGATATCATCGTATTCAGGAATCTCTAGGAAGCATATATACATGCTGATTTCTTTTACTTCTCGTCGGTGTCATTTGATAATAGGATTTTTATTACATCATTCATTCAATATACACGCACACACACACGTCTCCATCGTATACATTACGTAATGTCATGTGGAATGAGTAACTTTCGTTTCCTACTTCTTTCTTTTTAAGACGACGAGAAAATTTATTTACTAACATTCTCCGTCATGATTTTATCCATAATGAAAATTTATGCAAATTGAAAAAGAAGGCAAAAGAGAGAGAAAGTGAATTGACTCGCATGACATGAGTATGTGAATGTTAGCATAATAGAACCTCATATAAAGCTACTTACTGACTTACTTTTCTTCTCTTCATTTCAAATTCTTTATCGTTATTATGTAATTGTTTTATGGAGTGATCATTAATTCTTATATGTATATGCTAAATATTATTTAGGACTCTCTCATGCAGAATCTTTTATTATTTCAGACGAAAAATTTATTTTTTTAAAAAGTAGAATTTGAGATATTTTGTTTCTTTGCATGATGAATTATTGTAGAAAATATTACTTGTTCCTAACAGCGTTCCTACACTCGTTTAAAAACCTTTTATATAATGAGTTAAAGTCACTCAGTGGTGGAATGGTTAAGTATTTTTGTACCTATTAGTCGATAAGTTCAAGACTGAGTTTGGAAAAATTTTCACAAGTCCTCTTTCAAACCATACATACTAAAAGCTAACAGCCTTCCTTTCTAGGACTATCAAGATTTTATAAATATTGCCTGAATGGCACAAGTCGGTTAATCGATCAGAAATCCAGCTACAAGCCTGAATGACTCTGATATGGTGCTAGCTTCGATTTAAATCTAGCACCATACTAGCTTGATGCCAGATTTCTGATTAATTAACCGACTTGTGCTATTTGGGTTATTGAACAGTTCTCAAGGTGAAGTAATGAAGTCATAACAAGATTAAACAATACGTACGAATGTAAAAATAATTATTAAAATAGGTTGCAATCTCAAAAATCTCATTTGAGGCAAAATAATGAGGAATAAGCAATACAGTGTGACTAAAAATATTCTTATTGTCAATAAAATGCTCTCAAGCACACGACAATGCTGTTATCTGCCGTAAATAATATTCAATTTTTGTTTAATACTTTCTTGTACTTTAATTTGACAGATTATGTTTTAAACCAAAAAGATGTGACTTATTTGCCAAAAGAAAGTCAAACTGAAAATCCAGGACGTTCTCAAATTACGTCACGATTTAGTGGAGTAGAAGAATTTGTAAAGGGATTTCGAAAAAGTTGTTTTTTATTGTGACGTAATTTGCAAATGACCCATAATGCTTTCTTGCAGAGGTCGAAGCGATAATAGCGAAGCGAGTTTTTAGCGAGCTCACTTCGCTAAAAATTCAACTTGCTAAAGTTGACCTGTAGCGAGAATTTTTTTTTTTCTTTTCGCCTTAGCGAACTATAGCGAACTCAATTTTATTTTTTTCGCTTTAGCGAACTATTAGCGAACTTAATTTTTCAAAGTTCGCTATAGCGAACTATTGGCGAACTAGAAAAATATTTTTGGCTTCATATTAAGAGATGTCTGATTGCGTTTGTGAAGTATGTAATTTCATACAAAATTGCAAAAAATTATAGTTCGCCAATAGTTCGCTATAGCGAACTTTGAAAAATTAAGTTCGCTAATAGTTCGCTAAAGCGAAAAAAATAAAATTGAGTTCGCTATGGTTCGCTAAGGCGAATAGAAAAAAATTTTTCTCGCTACAGTTCGACTTTGGCAAGTTGAATTTTTAGCGAAGCAAACTTGGCGAACCAAGTTCGCTTCGACCTCTGCCTTCTTGTACTTTTATTAATCTTCGAAACTTATCCAAACATGTCTGACCTTATTCAAGGTGTGTAGTCAAAGGTTGAGCTATCAAAGCCAAATTATTGATTCCCAGCCTTGCCAGAATCACTGGACTAATATAAAAATATTAATATTTTCAAATTATTGGGTAATTTTCGGAATTGTTTTTAAAACCTTTTCGCTAGTAGCAATCATAAAGTCTTTAAACATTGGAAACCCCTATAAAATTTTTTAAAATGATGCACATAAAAATTAATTGCTGGTTTTTTTTTTGAAAAAATAAAGCTGATGCATACATGAGAAACGCCAATACAAACTAAAAGTCTCTTTATTATTCGTTTCTCGCTCAATAATATTTTACATAAAGGCATTGAAAAATTATCACTGGATCTGATTAGTCTGTAATTAAAAGTTAAATCGATCACAAGTAGAAAAGATGAAAATTTTAATTTTCTTGTTTCTCGTACAAAACCTGTCAGCATTTCCAGTCAATGATGGTCGAATCATTTTTCGGGATTCTGGAGAAAATGCACGCATAACAGGTCGATTTGATGACAGCACAGATGACATGACATTAGATCTACAAAGCTTATTTAATGATCCAAACATAATAAAATCAGAAAATGATACCAACAGCTTTATAGTTGAAGATCAAGGAAATGATGATGCATTATACGGAAAATATTATCAAGGTGATATAGTCTTGTCAGATGAACAGAAAGAATTTTTGAATGCCACAAATGTTGATGAGTTTTCATCCAGAACTGGAAGGATATCATTAGCTTATAGATGGCCCAAAAACATAGCAGGTCAAGTGATTGTGCCATTTGTGATCAATACCGATGACTACAGTAAGTTAATCAGAATCTCAAACTTTACATGTGCTTATAAAATTTCCTCTTTTTATTCAGCTTACAAGCAAATCCTTCTTATTCTAAGTGCAATGGATGACATTGAAAAAAGTACATGCATAGTGTTTGTTCCTCGTGATGGTCACGTTGACTACATTAATATTATATCAGACGATGGATGTTCTTCACAAATGGGAAAAATGGGAGGTCGTCAAAAGGTTAGCCTTGATTCAGATGGCTGCATATCTCGAAGAACAATTATACATGAGCTAGTGCATGCTCTTGGATTTGATCACATGCAAAGTCGTTACGATCGCGATCGTTATATTGATGTGCTTTATAAAAACATTAAAAAAAGTGAATACTTCCAATTTGAACTTGTAGATCCAAGAAAGTTCAAAGATTTCAATACTCCATATGATTATTATTCAGTCATGCATTATGGCCCAACAGCATTTTCTGTAGATCCTAGTTCAAAGCGAACCATAGTGCCAAAAATCGAAAAGTTTAGAAATGTAATCGGTAAAGTTCCTAGATTAAGTCAAGGAGATGTTAGGAGGATAAATAATATGTATAACTGCGGACTTTAAATGAGGGTATTTGTCATTAATGGGGTCGTTCACTTATGACGTGCGAAATTAACGGTCATTTTTCAAAAAAGAACAATGGATTTCCAGGAATTTCTATTGTTCTTGTTGACCCCACCCCCCTCCTGGACGTCATAAGTGAACGGCCCCTTAATTGGGTCACATAGTTTAGAATAATATTAATAAGAATGATGGACCAAATTTTAATAAAGTCGGTGATAAAAAATTCATGAATATTGGCACTTCGATCACAATTCGATCATGCACTATGGCTAAAATGCTTTTTCGGCTACTCATAAAAGAACTATCATTCCAAAGGATTCAAATTATAGAAACATCATTGGACAGAATTCTAAATTAAGCGATGGAGATGTCGAAAGAATCAGCAATGTGAATGAATGTTATTAATAAAAATAAATAATTGTATTAAAATGATATGAAGGCATAAAATTGTTTTACTTTTAAAAGGTCCAAAAATATTCTTTAATTAATTTTTTCTTTATTAATTCTTACTCTCAAATTGACTCTCTTAAATTAGGATTTTGACTCAAAATGTTTCGAGCCATTCTTTAAACAGAATGATTTAAGGAACATAATAAAATTACAATCTATTGTCGCTATTTAAACTAAAACTTAATGTCCAAACAAATCAATAATTCAAAACAATTGAGTAACAAATTTAAGATCTGTGATTTCTTTGCTCTCAATACTCACTTCAGTCAAGTTCACACATCTGAGTTGATAACAAGTGCCTTTTTAAAATTGAGAATAAAATGAAATTTTGTTTACTTTTAATATTTATTTATAAAATCGCGGCCTTTCCAACCGTAATCGACGATCGTGTTGTATTTCCTGATGAACTAGAGAACAATCAAAACTCGAATGATTTAAATTTCAATGATCTTGAAAGTCGATTTGATGACGATGGAGGAGATCTCAAACTTGACCTTACACCTTTTCTGAATGACTCAAATATTTTAAAGTCAGATAATGACACAGAAGAGTTTTTGTATGAGGAACAATCAGGAGGGAAACCTCAATATGGTGATTTATTTCAAGGTGATATTGAATTAGTGCCAGAACAAGTTAAGCTTCTAAATGGCACTGGCGAAGATGCTGATCTTGCAGATAGAACTGGATTGATCTCAGCAGTTTATCGATGGCCTAAAAATAGGAACGGAAAAGTTATTGTTCCTTACATTATATCAAGTATTGACTACTGTAAGTATGTAGAAAGTGATTGATTATAATTGATGTAAAGTTTCGATAAAAGAAAAGAAATGTTGACATTTTAAGGAGGTTGGGAGACAAAAAAATTCAGTCTTTTGTTGGACATCATTTATGAATTCCCCTAAGAAGTCATTAACAAATCATATTTATGGTTTTTTGTTTTTCATTCCCCAGCATTCAAAGACAGACAACGCATTTTGCTAGGCATGGCTGATATTGAAAAATACACATGCATAAAATTTATGCCTCGATCTCAACAATATGATTACATTTATATTAAATCTGGATCTGGTTGTTCATCAAATCTCGGAAAAATTGGTGGAAAACAAACAGTCAGTCTTCTCAAAAATGGCTGTCTAAATCGTTCAACAGTAATTCATGAACTTATTCATAGTCTTGGATTTGATCACATGCAAAATAGATCAGATCGTGATATTTATGTCTGGATTATGTGGGAGAATATTGAGAACAAACATAAACATAATTTTGAAAAAGTCGATTCTAGAAGATTTAAAAATTTTGACACACCATATGACTACTATTCAGTCATGCATTATGAGCCAATGGCTTTTTCTAAAAATAATAAAAGGACGATTTTACCGAAATTCAAAGGATACAGAAATGTAATAGGACAACTTAATGGAATGAGTCATGGAGATGCTAAGAGATTGAATAGAATGTATCAGTGCAAATTTTAGAGATGATTAAAAATTGTCCATATTCAGCACATTTAGAGGCTTAACCAGGAATTTGAAGAGGGGGGACAAAAAATTTTTTTGTATGGAAAAATTTAAGGGGGAGGGGGGGGGGGGGGGGGGGGGTATTTTGGTAATTTTTTCATAAAAGCCCTAGCAAAATAAAAAAAAATTCTGTTTACGTTGGGGGATTTGTCCCTCAAATCCCCCCCCCCCCCCCCTGGCTAAGCGCCTGATGACCACATCATCGTTAGGTATCAAAGATGCAAATTAATAGAATGTATTAGTGTGAGATTGATGAATAAATTTGAATCAGTGATGTTTAAGATACTTATTACAGGAGACGATCTTCATTGAACTTTTGAGAAAGCATTTTTTAAAACTATACTGACTGATACTGACACTTCTTTTCATCAAAAAAAAATTATTGTTTTTAACACGTCAGCATTTGATTGACTAGCTTCATAAAGCAATATTTCAAATTTCTACTAAAACAAAAAAGTCTGTCAGAGATAAAACCTTAAAAAGATTTGAAAACAACAGCTCAAAAGTAAAGATAATAAAGAGAATAACAATTTCTTTAGTACATCTAGCAAGGATGGCAAAAAGTGTGTCTCGCCTATAAAAAAAATTAGAGATAGGAAAAGAAAACTTACGTTGAGATAGTTCAAGCACTTTTTATTACTTTGTTTTGACACCATTGCTATAGTTATGGTCGAGGTGTGGAAACTTTATTTGTTCCAATGTTAAGATCCATAGCTGAGCATTATATGTATTATAAGAATAATTAAAATTTATAAATTCAGAAGGTTCAACAGGCCTCAAAATTTAAAATTTGGTCTGGAACCACTCCTTAAATGACATTTTTGTTTGGAATCTAAAACAAAGAAGCTGTAAGCTTTAGCTCCAACACAAATGATTAGAAATATGTGAAAAATGTGGGCTAAAGTTGCTCGGTGGCGGAATGGCTTAGTACTTCGGTACCAAATTATTGCAATATTGACAATTTTTTAATTGACCTATTTTGAATCATATGTACTGAAAATGAGGCTCATAGCTTTCCTTTGTAGGCTAGAGACAGAAATGTCATCAAAGGAGGGTTTCGGATCACACTTTAAATTGCAAGTCTAGGTTTGAGTGTAGAAGTTTGGCCCATCCTAACTCGTCTTAAACTCTCATAGCTCTGAAACGCCCTAGCGCACTTATAATTTTCCATTCCTAGTCTGGAACCCATGTTTGCTATCTGGATATTGCAATAATAAGCTTACGAAGTCCTAATCCATTCCATCTACGAGTCTCTTCAGCTCACATAAACTAAGGCTTCTTAGAGGACATTAATAAATCTTAAAAGTTTCCATGCCTAGACAATAAAGGAGAAGGAAAGAATAGACAAAGCAAAAAAAAAATTATTTCAATTCATATCACATTGCACAAATTTCAATTAACTTGATTATATTCATTCACATAACTCCATTTTCCATTTAGTTCATTTATACAGAAAGTTTGTAACAGAAATGAGAAAAATTATCCAAGAGACATTACATAATGCTGAACATCTCTCGAAAGCGATAATCCTCAAGAGGAAAAAAAAAAGCTATTCGAGTTAATATTAATTTGTATTAAACTCCTTACATGTAGACATTTTACAGCATTCTCATTCTGTCTTTAGTTTTTCTTTACAAGAATTTATATAACTTTCTTATGAGACATAACTGGAATTATCTGTTGAAGCATATTCACATGTTTTACTTCCGAACTTATTCTTGTTCGATTATCTTTCAATGAAACTTTTGTTTTTGTTGATGATGTGAATTTTTTTTATTTTTGGTTCCTTATAAGCAAGGAGACACTCAAAAAAAGGATTTTGAAGATTTTATTTGATTTTGCCTTAAATTATAGGTCTTTGTTGTTGTTCGATGACCTTACAGATCAGTTATGATCCATGGCCTCGCTCAGATGTCGCCCAGAAGCCTGTCTCTATCAACAGCCTTTTTCCATAAGTTTTCTGGTCTTTCATTTGTTTTTTTTTTGCCATCTATAAAGCCAGACTTAAAAACCTTACTTAATCGAGCTTCCACAGGTCTCCTCAAACCAAGTCCAGCTATTAAAATCTGGTCAATAGAATAGAATAGAATGTAATGTAGGGTTTTGCTTATAGCAAAAGCGGCACTACGATCAATGATCTATTGTACCATCCCAAGTCCCCTATGCTAGAATTCTAATGTCCTTAATAAAGCCAATAATGTCCTGCTGCTTAAACCCTCTCAATCGTTGGTTTATGATTATTGCACTTGACAGACACTCAAACTTTATAACAGATTATTTATTTGCTTTCAAACTTTAATGCAACACAAACAAGCTTCAGCTTCTATTGCATGTTAGAACAAGTGCATGTTTCTTTATTTTATTTGCTTACCTTTTACTTCCTTCAAAACTCAAACATCAGTACAAGAAATATTTCTACTTACAAAGAATAAAACTACTTGTTCTCTTTTGTGTGCAAACAACAGAAAAAAGTTTGGGTAACTGAAGTAAATAAACAAGCAAGCAACAACATAGATAGGTACGTATTATGTGTACCAAATATTTTCTTTCTTTAATATTATTATGGCTTTGATGATGGGAGTATTTGTAGACATATCTTGCAATTTATTTAGGTCATATTTGATGATGAGAAAGTTTTTCATTTAAAATATGATTTGTAAATAATGTTGAAAAATATTTGTAATCTTCAGAAGTTGTTCTTTAGTTGTTATAATATTTAAATTGTCAAATTACTGCAAAATACACTCACTTAATGTTGTTTATCATTGTCGTCAGAAATTCAAGGCAATTTCTCTTAATGAATGCTTGCTAATGACTCTCAGGCTGGTATAAATAGATTATATTGTCAATTAGAATCGCAATGCCTCTAGCTGATGGTGCTTGCATAGCTTTGATAAAAACTCTTTATCATGAAGACATTTAAAGTTTGTGAAGCCATGTGAAAGGGTCCACGATGGGGATAAGAGAGGGTTTAAAGCCACGTGTAGTGTAAGGTGTGGAATTGTTGGGTTTTAAAGTCATATGAAGTTTTGTGGATTGGTTGCCCCTAAAAGATTAATCTGGTTACATGGGTTTACAGTTATTTACAAAATTGTCTGGTTATTTAAGTGACTCTAAGGAGGGGAAGAGTAAGTGAACTAAATATTGGAAAACTGCTTAGATATCAGAATATTTTAAGGCATAGTCGGCAAGCTTTTGGTGTTCAATCATCTCCTCAATCAGGATTTGTTTTTAGATTACTGAAGATTTAAAAAATCGACCCACATCTTTGACAAACTTCAATAAAATTGCTTAAAGTTCCATTTAAATGCCTTGGAGTCGTTCACTTATGACGTCCGAAATTAACGGTCATTTCTCAAATCAGAACAATGGATTTCCAGGAATTTCTATTGTTCTTTTCTTACTGACCCCCCCCCCCCATGGACGTCATATGTGAATGGTCCCTTCTTAAATTCCATTATTTTTAATAAAACTATGTTTCTGCCTGAAAACCTTAAAAATTTATTTTGTAATTTCAAGCAGACAAATCGCTTATTATCAAAACCTAAATTGTCATCGTAATTTTCATACTCCAAGCTATATATGCACACAAAAATATTGTTCATTTAATGTTCAGAGTGTATTGACACAAAATATCTGCCGCTATGCAAAACAGTAGCAAAAAAAATAATCCTCAAAAATGCAACTGCTTCCCCACCGTAGACAAAAATATTAAATAAAATTCATTTTGCAACATTTTAAATTAAAACAACATTTTTACAAAAATAAATGCAGTGAATAATGTTCAACGACTTTGAATGAATATCCATAGCAACAACCATTAAATGCTCATGCAAACAAATTTCATTTTTTTATAAATATTGAACAAGATTCATAGTATACAACATTTTATTGTAGGGCTCTATGGAAATGTAATCATAGCAACCAATTTATTTTTTTGTTTATTTTCACAATATTCTTGTTCAAGGATTCAATTTAAAGGCTCCTTTTGGCTGTTAAATATAAAATATTCACAAGACCAAGTTATTTTCTCTCAATCAGACTTACACACTCACCTGATCAAATACAAATCAAAATTTTATCATTTAATTAAATTAAGTGGAAAGTGTAAAATTCATCAAAATGGAGAAAATGTCATGGCCAAGTGAAAGGATTGCTCATGGTGGAATTTTTCATCAACGCAATGTAAATTATTCAAGAGAGACGAATGACATGATAAAAAGTAAGAAACATAATAAGAAAGCCCCCCAAGTGTACTTGTTTTTAATGTCTCTTATTTTATTTATTTTTCATCCACTGCCTACTACTTACCCTCGTCCATCAGCATTAATGAGCGAGGCCAATTTGACAATGATGCAACGCAATAAGATCAATTACTTCTTAAGGCAAGGAAGTGCTCTTCCACAACTTGAGATGCAAAAAAGAAGACTTCCATCGCAAGAATATGAGCTGCGTAGGGCACGTGAAATAATGGATAGGAGTCGTGTTGTTCGAAAACGCTCGTGGGAAACAATTGCTAAATCTGGCGTCTTTGAAATTGAAAGGTAAGTAACGAAAGAAGATTACGGAATGTTCTTATGAATTTTGTTGAATGAAAACGTCTTCAAGCGAGTTGTTTGCTTCTTGTAAATCTGAAAATATCATCATTGATACTGGTCATTAATTATAATAAATGTGGTGAGTTTCAAGAAGAATCAGAATATTGAGAATGATCAAGAAGCAAGCTTTTCTGCCATTCATTCTAAGACTCAAATTTATTACTGTCGCAATTTTCATTCATTTTCATGAGAATTAAGATGGCTGATTGCTGCCAGGGCACAAAAATGACAATACGTACAATTAGGAATGATATTAGGCGTTGTTGTCACAAAGATCTCAAAGAATTCAAAGAGATTTTTAACAAATTTTTTTTTTTCGACTAATGGTGAAATGCGTTTGATTTGCACGTGTCTCTAAAGAAAGCAGGAAGCCTTACATTAAGAATTTGCATTTTTTTAAGTCCATAAAACAATAATTTGTTCGAAAACAAGTTGCAAACTGAACAAAAGGTTTAAGTAGACTAGTCCGTGCTGGGAATCAAACCAACGTCTTTGTAAACGATAGATTTTCACCTGCTTTATTAACCACATCCCCACAAAAGCACCTACTTATGCTACACATATTGTTCTATTGCAGACTCGACTCTATAAAGCCACCTCAAAATAAAGCATTTAAAATTCAATTTCTTAAAATTTTCATTGATGTGAATTTAGAAACCAAATACTTTAAAAGCTTTGAAATTTTGATTATTTCCCCAAAATCCTTCTTAAGTTCAATTCTACGTATGTAATTTTAACTACACTTGAATGAATTGCTGGTTTTTGTAAGAAAATGTAAAGTAAAATTTCCATGTGAATTAAAAAACAGCATTTATTTCAATAGGGTAAGCCATGTTGAAATTTGTGTGTTTTTGCACATGAAGATTTGATTTGCATGTAACTTTTTAATTGCTGATTATGAAAATCTGATTATAGACTTAAATTATCACAATTTGTGGGAGTTTTCATTTTACATTTTGAATATGAAAGATGTGCTGCTTATGGGAAGAGAATTTTGACATTTTTGGTCAAATGTTGAAATTTGTGCAATTTTTTGATAGCAAATTTTGACATAATTTCAATTCTCAAATGAAAAAAAAAACATTTTGTTTACAGTTTTTTGGAACTTAAATCGCGATTTATGGCAAGGAAAATATCTGAATCAAATTAAAACCAAAATAAGAACTACTCAGCTGACTGTTTTTAATTTATTTCTTAAGATGCATGCAAGATACAAGATTCAACTTAATTAATTTTGACTGAGCTTATTAAACAGTAAAATATTAATAAAGCAAGAACGTCCTGCAAGTTTTTAAATTTCATAGAGATATATAGTGAAGTGCATAGATTAAAAGTTAAAATAAAACAATACCTTAAAAATTTGAATCTGTTGCATAGGATAGACAGAATAATTCTGCAGAATTCTTTTTGCAGCAAAATAATATTTGTTCTAAATTTGGCATTTACCATATACTTCACAAGAGCTCGCAGAAATCACTATTGTAAGTTCTCTCTAAATCTTTATGGGGCTTTCAATTAATTATTTATGTTCCTCAGGTTTGTGTGCGAGACTTGGTCGTTCATCAGTATACGACTTAATTAAATTAAGTCCTTTTGTTCTTTTTCGTAGTGTTAGTGTACTTTAATTAAGTACACACTAATATTTTTGCAATAACTTACACAAATAAATGAAAAATACAAAAAAACACGTGGAATTCAACAAGTGTTTTATCGAAAAAAAGTAATCCATTTGTTTTCCATTTGTATTGCGTTGATGTATTACATTGATGTCTTATTGCATTGTCCATTTATCTTCCAATTTCATAGGACATCATCTTCCGATGGATAATACATGGATAATACATATATAGCAATATGTAGATGGAAGATTCTCATGGAATACATTAATCTACCTTTTGGTTTCTTGGATTGTTCCTCGAATTTTTTACGCATTGCTCAGTTTGAAGCTGTTCAACCACGATAACTAGCAATAATTACTCAGTTTTTAATCCACTAGTTGCTTTACAATTACATATAAACATACAAGCCGAACTTAATTATTTACTGTAAAAAAATAATCGTGTCGAATTCGATCTCCAAAAATCTTATATTCAAAAATTTCATCAAATTTTAAACGCTTTTGTTTATAAACTTTTATTGAAGTTTTAATAATGAATAATTATGTCAAACTATTCAAGGGCTCAAACTAGAGGAGCGAAAGGAAAATATTTGGCAAATTCAAAATCAATTCTGTTTCAAACTTAGTGAAACACTGAAAAATGTTGTGCTCCTATTTTAATTTCCATACTAATTTGTAATTGTGAAAAAACAAAGTCTTTAACCATATTCTCATAAACTTGTTCATCAGAACTTTTAATTATGCAGAATTTGGAAAAAAATGTTTCTGATTTGTTTTGTGAAATTCTGCAGAATTATTCTGTCTATCCTATGCAACACACCCAAAAATTTGGTAAAATTATACGGCCGGTTTCACTAAAGTGGATTATCCTCGATTTCGGATTATCCACTTCAGTTTTTTGTAAATATCTTAAAGTTTATGGGAGGTGTGGTATTTCTAATTTTGGATTATAATAGAGTGAACTATGTCTGAAATTTCTGTATACTTTAAACTTTTACTTTTCATTAAGAACTATCAATTATTCAATTTTCTACCCAAATCTAGTAGATAACCTTCGATTTTTGCTATAATTCTCAAACGAATGAAGATATAAAAATTCTAAGTATATGTTAATTTAAGTAGCAAAGTACTCTTGCTAGATCACACATTAGATCTCTTAATAACCGTAATCGTCTGGAGATATTTCCAAAAAACTGAAGTGGATAATCCACTTTAGTGAAACATGCGGATAATGTTTTTTTAAAAATGAAATAAATTGAAATAAAAAGAGGATATACATATGAATGCTTTGAGGAGATTAATAATTTTTTTGAAGTTCTTCATAATATTTTCTACAGTTTTGAACGAGGCGCATTTTTTTAACTTTTGGTTTTTAACTTTGAGAAGTTCCAATCATGTTATTTCTCATTTTTACCTCTAAAAACATGAATTTCATAGATAAATAATATTTATTGTTGACAAAATGTGTCATTGCTTGCTACGATGAAAAACGCACAAAGATTAACATTTGTCAAAATATTTTAAACAAATTTCAACATTTAAAAACCTGTGATTTTAAAATCAATTATTAGAGCACTTCCAATAGCTTTTTATGACTAGAAACTTTTTTAAACGATTAAACTATATTCAAATTCGATATTTCATAACTTTTATGCTAATAAGAAGCACTTGTTATGTCCAAATAATTTAAAAGATAAAAACTTAAATTTTGTATAGGGTTTTGATTTTTTCAAATTTAGAGCTGCCTAAGGTTTCAAGACCATCTTAAATGACGTAGAAACATTTGAACATCTATTTTACATAGAACTGCATACAAATGTTCAATATAAATGGCTTATTAGTGATGATTTGCATTTAATTTGAGCGCACAAATTTCAACATGGTTTACCCTATTTCTTTAAGACCTGAATGTGGGTGTAAAATAAGAAAACAGGTCGTATTAAAAGCTAAAGCTTTGTCCCTAGAAAATCTATTTCTTTTGTCATAATATGCAGAAAATATCCTCCTACAGATGAAAACATGTTGAGCGAAATAAATTACAATATTATTGTTGTATTATTTAACCTTACAGATATGTACCCAAGGTGACAACGAGAAATAATGACAAAGCAAAGCAACAACTACAAGAGCGAATGTCTGGTCTAAAGGAATATCCGGAGCTTGATAGATTTACATTGCATACAAAGGAAAAGCATCGAAAGAATGGAAAAATTTACTCAAATGACCGCGTTGCAGAATTATTAAAAGAAATTTACGAACGAATTGAATGGATAAAGGAAATGGATGAATTGGGTGAGGGGAAGAAGCACCGTCAGGTCATTGACGCTCAAGTGACGGAGCGTTTGAGAGAAATAAAGAGAATTGAGGAGAAACTTGGCAAACAAAAACGAGACGGTCTTCAAGACGTAACGGAAGAAGATTAAAAATAATTTTGTGTGTCAAAAAAAAAATAATAAAAAATTGCAATCGAATTTTTGAGTTCAGCACTGTGAAAAGAAAAGATGAAAAGATTTTCCACTTCTTTTTTCAGGTATACTGCAGATTGGATGGGTTTTTGGTGTGAAAGGTGTTGCTGATTATACTTTGTCAAATTGTCTAGTTTTTAATTAAGTTTGGAGTGGTATGGAGCTGAATAGAGTCTGATCAGAGGTAATATGAGGCTAGGATTGTTATCTTTTGTGAGGACGGAAGTTCAACTCTCACTAGAAGCTGAATCTCTTAATCATTTAAAGTCAAAAAGATTAATATTCATTCAAAATTAACGACATTACATTTAGTAAGTTTAAACCGACTTCCTTGTCGACAAAAGTAAAATTGAGCAGTTCAAAAAAAATCGCTCTTTTGCAATCCATTCTAAAGACACTACGACTTGATACCATAATGTAATTCCTCACGAGATAAAAGTAAAATTTTCCACAAATTCTCACAGTCTCAAAATACAAGATATCTTCTTTTTATTTAACTTCATATTCTGCTTAATAAATTCATTTTTCTTACGTCATTTCTATTCTACGTGTATTATGTTAAACAAAAAAAAAGTACGAGATCTTTTTCATTATTCATTTTCTTCTTCTTCTTTGCGTCATTCTTACTCTCGAAAAAAAAAATAATAATAAGAAAAAAATTTCCTCTGACTTAGCATTAAGGAAAAAGTAGAGACGAGAAAGTGAGTGGAGCATTCTGATTGTCATTATGACATTTAATCATCCCACAAATGTAGACGTGAAATGAAGAAAGACATCAAAAATGTAGAAGAAAAGAAACTTTTTTTTTATAAGACTGATATTGAAAAGATTGTACATGATTCAAGATTGTACAAATGACTATCACAATTCGTATTGTTTAATGAATAAAAATTAACATGATAAGTGGATGGGAAGTGGCAAAATAGGCTTAAGAATATGTTGAAATTGTGATATTTCTATTAAAACTTCAATATGTCTTTGATTTATTGTAATTGGATGTATCTGAGATTGCTTTCTAACGCTCCCTTGGAGATCATAACTGAACTTTAACTTTGACTAGGTTAGGAACCTAGCAGCTGGTTTTGTAAACTACCTAGAATCCTCCAGATAAACAAAAAGCAGTTGAGTGTTTTGCTGGTCAAATAGGTAAAGCGCTTGGCTCAAATATGGTAAATTAACTCGAAGGTCATCGGTTCGAATCCAACCATTTCGAATTTTGTTCTTTTTCAGAAGTTTAGATACTTCGACTGCTTAATGTACGAGAACAAGCCATAATTGGGCATTTGGGCAACGTTGAATTAAGGAACGGATCAGGAACTTAAGAACATCGGGAGAAATAGAAACGAAAACTACAAGATTACCATTGTAAATGGAATATTGTCAGAACGGACCTAAAAATGTCATGTCACGCCCTCAGAAGATTGAAACGAGAGCCTGAATTCAATCGAAACCTAGATTTGAAGATTGGAAGCTTGATCCTACATAATATTAATTCATATGAATATATATAAACACAAATATGAATTTTTAATATTTCCGAGCATTAAGCAAAAAAAAAATCCAGAACAAAGAAAAATCACTTCCTTTCATTCCCAAAACAAATTACAACTAATTATTTCTTAAAATATAAATAATGAATTTTTGTGAATTTTTTCCATTAACAGATTTTTTGTTCGTTCCAATCCTAGGCATTGCATATTGTCGAAGATTATGGATTGCCATTCTCTCGAGGCTCATTTTCGCACATTACTTATTTTTTCAATGCGGAAAAAAAAATTTCTCATCCTGAAAACTTTTTCTCGCCTCGTTTTTCTTCTTTCGCGGGAACTAAGACCTTTTTTATGGAAAAAGAAATTTTTTTGAAGAGTTAAACTTTTTGCGAAAAAACAAGAAAGAAAGAATTCAACAGCCTGAACTCATTATGAAATTGAATAATTTTACGCATCTTATATCATCTCATTTATTTTTCCTTTAAATTTTTTATCGCACTTTTCTCGATTAAAAAAGTTTCTGCATAATGGGTTATAATTTATTTGAGACAAAATTAGGAGCAGAAGGATCTTCTTTAATAATTAAACTTTTAAATTTGAAGCCTTCAATGTAACAGAATCTTTATGCCAATCTCAAATAAAGAAGCATAAAATAATGACAAGATGTTGAGTTTCACATTGAAGTCTCAAACAGCTACAGATCCCCCCTCCTGCCATCTCTATTCAAAAGGTAACCATCATTTATGAACGACCTTTTTAACCAAATTATTCGAGTTCCTTAATTAAAAGGAGACGTTAAACTTTATAAGTTCCACAAAAAATACTCTATCCTTTCCAACCTGAGTAAACTAGCATCCTAGAACTTTACTACAAATATTTTTTACTTTTTATAATAATTGAAAAATAAAATAAAGTAAAGAAATAAAGTTTGACCTCATTTGAATAAATTTACACACATATTATTAATTCTGTAAGTCCTTCAGTGTAAAATTCATTAAAAACTAAATTCCAACCCCCTCCTCTGATGTAATGAGATTATTGAGGTAGCATCATCAAAATACAAAGTTTTAATTAACTTTCACACAGCTTTCACGTCTTTTTTTTGTTTTAATTCTATGCGAATGAAGGGATGTAGCTCATTCGCATAACTAAAAGAAATGAAAGCAAAAAAAAAGAACTTTAATGAAAGTCAAAAAATATGACCGCAAATTTCCCACTGAAAATGATATTTTAATTGCATTTTTATTACCATTTATCCCTCCTGCTAGGCGCTTTTTGAAAGTTTTCATTTTATTCATTTCGTGAGGAAAAAAAAGAGAGCTTTCTTAAATAAATGAATGAGGTTGAGATAATATTAATTTAATTTTAAGAATATTTACGATTGATTATTTACTTAATGTGGAGAACCTTAGCTTGAAAGAGAGATGTTGCCGAAGGGAAAGCTCTGGCGTGGAGCTAGATTTAAATCGAATCCAGCTCATGTCAGTGGCATGCTAGCTCTTCAATGCCTTGTGCTATCCAGGATATCAAATGCTACAGACATTACAATGTCGAAAAAAGTCAACATGTTCGAATTTTGTCGATCTAGTTTTAAATAATTTAAAACCGTTACAAATTTGTCAATATTTGGATTTTAAGCATTAATATTTAATATCTAGTAATTGTCTTGAGTGTTTCTAGCTTAGCTTAACCAAACAAGAAGCTAAGAATAAGAATCATTTTCCCAAAACTTGTTTTTGCCAGTGTTTGCAAGAAATTTTCATGAAAACTTAACGGTTTTTTGAAATTCAAACCAAAAAATAACGGTTTTTGACGTGTCCGTAGCACGGGATATCAAATTGTATCAAATCAAATATCCAGAAGTTGATTTTTTTCAAAATTTGAATTTTAACACAAGAATTTAACTTTTTAAATAAAACTCATTTAAAAAAGGAATTATTGTTTAAATAATAAAAGATGGAAGACCTGAAAAAGGTGACGTTCCATAAGACAAGACGATAAAAAATGCAGAAAAAGCTCATAAATAAAATTTGAATCACATAATAAAAATTTATGCCACAAAAACGACAGATGAAACATAAGTCTAATCTTATTAAGAGATAGTAAAGTAATATACTCGCAAAATCGACTTATAGACATTAGATATTCTACTAACAAGCATGAAAATGAAGTATCATATTTCCGTAGTTCATATTCTGCCACAACAACTCATCCATAAAACATAACATTCTCCATCCATGTCACTTACACATTTTGTGTGAGAAAATGAAAGTAAAACTTATTTTTTTAACTTTCTCATCACAAAATCATTCATGTATTTAAGCAGCATCAGTGTCACGTTCGATATCGCTTTGTAGCAATAATGATGATATTTTTTTATAGATCCACTAAAATGTTATTTGTCATATGTCAGCGTATGAATTGAATAAAAATTAATTGAGTTAAGTTCAAATTGTGAGCTTTAAAATCCTATTGACAAAATTTATATTTTAAGAGTCTAATCATGTACTGTATTTGCTTAAAATCATGTAGCGTAGAAAATTTTGTAATACACAGCAAAATCATACCTGGAAAATTATTGATGTCTTTATTCTTCAAATTATTGTTAAGATATGTCAAGATGTGATTACAATGTCACGTGCCATAATACTTTTCCAAAGTGCGTGATATGATTTATTATGTTTAAATTAGAATACAGAAAATTTTTTAAGATGAAAATTAGATTCGGATATATTATATCAATTTTTCCATTATGTATTTTTGTTTGTACTTGCTAATGATTTCCATAATCTTCTTTGCTGTCATGAGATTGAGACACAATTGACGGAATATTAATTATGTCTTCATTAATTAAATAAACAAAAAGAATATATCAATGTTAAGCTAGTAAAGAAATGCCTACAGTAGGTATGAGTAGAAAAAGATTAAAATACATCACATTGCTTAGCAGGGGCGTAGCCAGGAATTTGAAGAAGGGGGGAAAAAATTTTTTTTGTATGGAAAAATATAAGGGGGGGTTGGTATTTTTGTGATTTTTTCATAAAAACCCTAGCATAATAAAGAAATTTCTAAATTTTCCACCCCTCACCCCCTCCCCACCCTCCCCTGGCTACGCGTCTGTTGCTTAGCATCGCATGCCTAAATTGATATTTTGTGAGTTGCTGTGTTACCTTGAACTCATCGTTATAGCATGAACGATGCATTCGTGATGGGAACGTGACGTTGCTATGAGAAAAAATTATGTCACTTAAGAAGAAAAGTTCGTGCATCTGTTTTTCTAATTCAGTAGGCAGGAATCTTAATGAGTTAAGAATATTAAGGTTTTAAGTAAATTTAACTTTGTCTTTGGTAACCATAGAGCTCAACTCCAAAATAATTCTCAATTTAATCTAGAACATCGCTTCCAAATAGACAATTTAAGAACAATAAATCCCATTCAAAATATCAAAAGCCTTACAAAATGCTCAAAAAGATCGAGTTTCAAT